GAAACTCGAACAGGCATTTAGTACATGAGCACCCTTAACCTAGTATTTGCAGTATCTGCAGCTTCTCCCTTGATAATTTGTTGAGTCGTTGTTATCAGTGTTATAAAATAAACTGCACCGAACACAATGATATCACACTCAATAGATGATAAATCAAAATCACAAATCACTTTGAAAAGTTTATCAGATCTACAGATGCACCCGCACTAAGAAAAAAATGTCGAATTCAAAGTACATATGTGCGTCCCATAGATTAACTAAGTCCCAAGCCTCAGGCGCGAAGAGGCTGGATCGGGAGCCGCCGTGACCGAGAAAAATCGGTTCACCCCCCCATAAAAAGTTATCACTTCAATAAATGCCTATTATATCTATATTTTTTTAAATGCCAAAGGTATCATCGAAATAAAAATAAAACGTTTGTCCAAAATGACTTACCCCTTTGCTAGATTGATGTGCCTCGGGTCTGAACCTGAAAGCAACAAAAAATGTTTTAAAAATGAATTGGAAAATAAGATTCAATGGATATTATAAATGATAACTGCTATTCTTTATGAATATTTAACTTCGCTCTCCTCTCCTGTTCTTTCATGTTATTCGTATTCCTCTGTTTCAGCTATAAATTTAGTAATTGGAATTTTTTAAAAATACATAAGTTCCTAGATCAACGTCTCAAATTTTGAAAATAGTTACATATGATAAATTAGACATATTTTTTTCATATTTTAAAGCTTACCTTCGGTTGGATACAGATCCCGCCTTGCTGCCCTCGTGGATGATCACTTCCCTAGCATCCACTTCCCTGCAATTATCCGCATCGTCCTGATAGTCGAAAATCTTGTTCATTATGGGACTCCACAACTGGCCCGTGCCGCCCAAAATATCATCAATGTTGGTGTGCTTTGAAATAAAAAGCGACGAAACGCCTTTCCTATTCGTTTCGCCAAGCATTGGTACGTTATCATACGGGCTTAATCGGCCTGCTTCGGTGTCTTTGGGCATTTCCAAACCCTCTGGACTAGCTCTATCTCCCAACGGTTCTTGACTATCAAATTCCTGGTTATCCTGGAGCCACCAAGCTTTTTCACCCGAATCCTGATGTCTAATGGCATATTTTGCAGTGCTGCCAATTTCATGTTTTGCCTCAACCTCAGCGGAAGTTTCGTCGTCGTTGATCCACCATTCCCGCTCGCCAGAGTCAATGTGCCTCAATTTGTGCGTTTCCAAACATTCTGGTTGTTTGTTTTCACCAGGCTCAACATTGCGCTGCTCGGATGTAGATTTGTCGCTATCTTGCCACCAGGTTGAATTGCCTGAATCATTTCTCTTGAATTTGGAGCCATTTGCTGGCTCAGGTGCCCAATTGGGATAGGTCTGCACCCCTTCAGGCGGCGTGGAATCTTTTTGCAGCCACCAGGGTGATTCGCCGCTTTCAACATGGCGAATGGTTGGTTTACTTTGCTGAGGATTACTTGGAGCTGTTTCGGGGTTCGGCCACGTTTTGACTCCTTCCGGTGGATCAGCGTCCTTTTTTAACCACCACGCTGCTTCTCCACTTTCCACAGTTCGGATGCGATATTTATCTGGAGGCTGGCTCTCCTCGTTGGCCTGTGGTGGTGCGCTATAATTAGGGTACACTTGAACACCTTCCGGCACCTCCGTGGGATTCTCATCCAGCCACCAGGGCTTTTCTCCGGATTGTACATGAGAAATTGTACTTTTTTTATTATTGTTTTGCTGGGAGCAACCAGCATACGTTTCAACTCCTTCTGGGACCGGGGCTTCCTCATCCAGCCACCACGGCTTTTCCCCGGAATCGTTATGTCGAACCGCCGGTTTACTCAGTGGGGCTGACATGTTATTTTCAGCATTATACCCCGAATATATTTGCATACCATCCGGAACTGCTTGACTCGAGTCCAGCCACCAAGGAGTTTCACCTGAGGAGTCCTGCTTTGATAAGGAGGGAGCTCGAGCGCTTTGCCCGGGCTCCGATGCGGTATTTCCATACTTCATGTCTACGGGTTCACTTCGCTGCTGGAGTTTGCTTGGGTCGGAAGCCGTTTCAGAGGACTCCTCCCACCAACCTTTCTGATCGGATTCCACTCTATGGAGTATTAATTTCGCGCTTCTTAGCTCCGGAGTTTGCTGGGAAATGCTGTTTGGCTCTAATGCGCTTTCTGAGCTGGGATCTAAGATCCAAGTTACCTTTCCATCAGCACCTGGTGGAGACCCAGACGCTTTTTGAACTTCATCCATGTTCCCGGTACTTTGTCTGTTCGTTTTGAACAAGTTCGTTACTGGAGCTAACGCTCTCATCAGGAAGTTTTTCGCCTCTGTTTCATTTTTATTTCCTTCTCCCTTTAACTTTGAGTTTGGCGGTACTTTTGTCACTGGCTCCGATAAAACATCATCAACAGAGCTGAAAATCGCGGACGTTCTGGAAGAATTCGTGCTTAGCACTCGCTCCTTTCGACTTTTCGAGTCTTCCTCGCTTGAACTCGGACCAGTGGTGCTTCCTACGCTCACATCAGATCCAGGCGAGGCTCTGCTTCTCTGCCGATTTTCGGAGGTCTTCTGAGGCAGGCGTGAGCTAGAACTATTATTATGATAGGACTTGCAACTAGTTAAGTTTTCGGATATGTCAGTGGCGTCCGGATCTGCGTTGTCTGACTCAGCTGAACTAGCCGAGTTACTTCGCCTACCGATTTTCTTCCTTGAGCCGTCCGGGTTCATGTTCAGTACAGACTTTCGGAAATCCTTATTCGGCGTGTTCAGGGAATGTAACGAGTTGGGTTTATTCGAAGTTTCCGGTTTGGGGATTGGGGGACGCAACTGCTTTTTATCAGTTAGTTGCCTCGGAGGCGTCAGCTTGGACTTTATGCTAATTGCTTTCTTTCCTTCCCTATCCTTATCGGATTTTACTGATGCGATACTTTTAGTGGAACTTGTCCGTGATAGACTCTTAGGGCTCTCCACACTGTCCTGCTTTGTCTTTTTGTCCTTCTTACTATTGGGGCTGGAAAATTTCATATCTAGGAAATTGGTCCAAGGAGTGGCGCTTATTCGGGAAGCACCAGCAAATCGTGAAGATCGCGTGGAGTCATCCATTCGATCAGATTGGATTTCTTTATCAATCATATTCTCCTTTATAGTTTTGGCTCTAGTAATAGTTTTCTCTATGGTTTTTGCTAACTCGATTCTGCGGCTCCTGAGGAAGCTGGGATGGGTGGAGCTTCCCAGTGTCGGGGATGTGCCTCGCGTGCATACTTTAACAGTCTCAAATTCTACTTCTTTTGCCGCTGTAGCTTCGATTTCTGGAGAAGGTTTTTTGGTCGCTTTGGGTCTTTCTTCTGGAGTTGCCGAGGAGCATCTGCTGGGGGGTCTGCTTGGGAATTTTTCCTGTTCCTGCTGAGCGTGTAATGAGTGGAGCAACTCTTTGTTTTTTCGTGATACCTCATGAGTCCGAGCGGCCGATGGTCGCGAATATGCTGTAAAGCTCCTTTCCACCGAGTTTTTCGGCAGAAACCGACTGTTGAGGTATTTTTGACTACCTGAGGAAAGATCCTCTCTAGAGCTCTTATACTTCGAGGCAATACTACTATCTTTGGAAACACTGGAAGCACGCCCACTTCCATACTTTGCAGGACTGGCATCTTCACGTTTGGTACTACTGAGTCGAGGCAAATTACTGGTACTGCCGACTGGCGAGACGGTGCTTTCTCTACTAGTGCTGCTCCTGGTGTATGGGCGCGGATAGAGCCTGTTGGGGTTTATGTAACTGGAGCTGGATGATGTGCTCTTTTCAGATTTGTCCATTGAAGGACTAGGCTCTCTGGATCGGGTGGTTGCACGAGATAGGGGCGATTTGTACGAAACCGGCGGGTGCAAGGTGTCTTTGTCCAGGATAGTTTTGATTCTAGGAGGCTCGCTTCGACCTAAAATAATAATATATTTTTAACATCAATAAACCAGATAATTCATAATTAAATAAGTGCAATGTAGGTATTGGACTGCTTTGTTTTAAAGCCAAGAAGTTTATAGAGAATAAATGTGAATTAGATTAAATTAACTCAAAATTGGACAGCTATTAAGATGCGTTAAAAAGGAACGACAATTTGAGGCCACAACGGAAAAAAACATAAAAGGATGTTACAAGTTTAAGTATTGGATGTTCGTTTCACAGTCAAACAGTTTTGATTGGAAGGTCGTACCTGACGTTGAAGCAATGCTGCTAGTATAAGAGCCTCCATATTTAGTGGCAATTCGTGAAGGTGTTGATCTGGAGTCGGAAAGAGGTTTACTCGTTGAGCCAGTGGTTCTTCCAAATGTAGAGTCATACTGAAAAGATAAGAGTTCAAAATTAAAAATTAGTCAGGGAGCACTAAACATTGAGGCAAAAATGAATGAAGATTTTGTGAGCTCTCAGAAATATTACTGAGTCACTGTCAACCGAGGAACATGTTGTTAAAACATGCTGTTGAATACATTTTGGATAAAATAGTTACCGCTAGACGTGACGGAATAGTATATTCGTTACTCGTTACTTCATGAAACCCAAAGTAACGAATATTGAACGAAAGGAGATGCGATTATTGCGATTAGTTTCAGTATTCCAATGAGATTCGGCTTGGGGTTTCATGTGACCGATGTCGTGGCCAATGCCAAACAGCATAATTACTTAAAAATCATTGATTACTTAAAATTTACTCTGTAGATATTAAATGTGGTATATACATATCTAGCGATTGACCACTTAACTTATCTAGATATAAGAATGTTCCATAAAGATTAGTAAGTAAGCTCCTGTTTAAAGACAAAAATTTTTGAGGCGAAATACCCAAAAAGAAGTTTGTAAAAATGAA